TTTCACAAGTAGAATAAATGAATAAAACAAGTGAAGTACGTGATTTGAGCTTATTTGTGAATATTTACACAGAAACCAACTGTATTTTGTGGGAATGATACACAGCCTAAGACGGATAGTGGTTACTTGTGGAAGGGAAGAGGTAAGAAACAGAGTGGTCAGGCTTAGGCCCTTAGGTTTGGACACTAAAAACAAATCCTGAAACAAACATGGTGACATGTTAACCTCCTTTTAATGTTGGTGGTGGTTACGTCCACCTGTGGTTGCTGAGGTTGGACTCGTGCATGGGGCCCACCCAAACAAGGCTCGCCAAACCATGTACCCTGCTGTGATGTTGCCTCTGCCTAGCAGAAAACAGGCCTCCTTCTACCTCGCACAATTCATGAGTCCAAGGTGGCCCTGTGGGTAAAAGAGTGCCCATTATATTATTTTCTGTACTTTTCTATGTTTGAAATATTTCATCACTTAAAAAATATGCCATGACTTCCTGCCTGAGGCTTAAGATAAATGGAATCCCTGTTGCTCAAAATTGTCACAAGTCCTGGGCAATTCTATCCCATCACTCGCTCTCCAGTTTTTCCATCTCCCCTCTTTAGCTGGTATAAGAGAAGCTTCTGTGGGTCTCCAGCTCCCTGCCTGACAAATGTACTAAGAATTACGAAATGATTACTCCAGAAATCTGTCAAGAAGTATAGTTTCCAGTTGTCTTCAGGAAGTGTTCCAAGGATGGAGAACCACCTTTTTGACATCTTTTAATACATAAAGAAGGCTCACAGCTCTACAGCTGGGTTTGCTTTGTGTGGAGGAATTTGAATACACCAAAAAACATATATAATAATGCAAAAGGATACCAAAGAGATCCTTTGTCCAACTGGTGGAAGTACATCTTTTATACTTCTGTCATCTGTAATTCTCCAAAAATGCAGAAGACCAGAAATATCATCCATCACCAACCGTCTGATACTCTTTCCTAGCAAAACTGCAAAATGCTATTGTCCTGTTCTTTACTCAATAAAAATAAAATAATAAACAATTTTGTTCCAAACCCATTCACCATTGTGTGAAAATCCAATATTGAACATCACATGTATTATTTAACAGCATAAAACTGTTCTAACTTTCTGAGAAGAAATAGCATTTTCTGATAAAAATAAATTGATATATCAATAGATAGATGATACAGAGATAGATAGATACAAAGATAAATACAGACATAGATAAGGAAAGGCATAAATTTTGACTTGCTTCTCTTTTCTACATGTTGCCAAACATCTATCTCAAAAAGGTTTGTTTCTAGAATATATAACTAAGTATCCTAAATCAACAGAAAAAATAAAATCCAGTTACAATAAAAGCAAAAGACATCAACAGTGAATATGCAGATGACAAATAAGCACAGAGAAGTTGTCCCTCAAGGGGTCAGTGCTGTGATGTAGTGGACTAAGCCTCCACCCGAGGTGTCAGCATCCAATATGGGCGCTGGTTCGTGTCCTGGCTGCTCTCCTTCTGATCCAGCTCTCTGCTATGTCTTGGGAAAGCAGTAGAAGATGGCCCAAGTGCTTTGGCCACTGCACCTGTGTGGGAGGCCCAGAAGAAGCTCCTGGCTCCTGGATTTGCTTTGGCCCAGCTCACAATGTTGTGGCCATTTGGGGAGTGAACCAGCGGATGGAAGGCCTCTCTCTTTGTTTCTCCTTCTCTCTGTCTGTAACTCTACCTCTCAAATAAATAAAACCTTTAAAAGACAAGTTGTTCCTCAAGATAAGCCCTGGTAAAATTCAAACTAACAAGAGGAACTACCAGGATGTCCTCATGAAAACAGCTCAGCTACCAAATGCTAGGAGTGGTGAAGAGAAACTGCACACATTTTTTTTTTTTTTTGGGGGGGGGGGGAGGGGCCGAAAACGGCAAAGCTACACTGGAAAGAAACTTGGTGGTTTCTCAAAGAACTTCCACATAACCCAGCAGTTGTACTCCTAAGTATTTATCCTTGAAAGATGAACATTTTGTCCATATACATACCTGCATATACATAAAATTCCATAGGCTATTTTTCTGATCAGAATACGTCACAATAAATAACAAACCTTGGGGATGGGAAGCAAAACTAACCACGTGGAATGCGTATAACATTCTTCTCAAGAAATCCTATTTTTGAAGATTGATTGATCTCTTTATTTGAAAAGCAAAGTCAGAGAGAGAAGGAGAAAAAAAGAGGGAGAGATTTTTTCCACTTCTTGGCTCACCCCACAAAATGCCCACAATAGCTAGGGCTGGGCCAAGTTGAAGCCAGGAGTCAGGAACCCCATCAAGATCTCTTACCTTGGTGCTAGGTACTCAAGTACTCAAACCATCATCCTCCAGCTCCCATCTACATTAACTGGAAGCTGGATCAGAAGCAGAGTAGCCATAACTTGAAATGACATTGAGCTATGGGATGCGGACATCCCCAGGGATGGCTTAACCCATTGCACCTCAATGTCCAGCCCTCAAGTACGTCTTGAATAAAAGACGAAATAAAATTTGAAGTTGTAGAAAATTTTGGAAATCATTATAGTCAAAATATTATATATGGCCCGTGCCGCGGCTCACTAGGCTAATCCTCCGCCTTTGGCGCCGGCACACGGGGTTCTAGTCCTGGTCGGGTCGCCAGATTCTGTCCCAGTTGCTCCTCTTCCAGTCCAGCTCTCTGCTGTGGCCCGGGAATACAGTAGAGGATGGCCCAAGTCCTTGGGCCCTGCACCCGCATGGGAGACCAGGAGAAGCACCTGGCTCCTGGCTTCGGATCAGCACAATGCGCTGGCCGCAGCATGCCAGCCATTGGAGGGTGAACCAACGGCAAAAAGGAAGACCTTTCTCTCTGTCTCTCTCTCTCTCACTGTCCACTCTGCCTGTCCAAAAAATATATTATATATTCAACTCCAAGGTTTAGCTAAAGCTGTGATTAGAAGAATATCACATTAAATAGTTATAGGAAGTGACTACATATAAACAAGTTAAAAACATTCATCTTGAAATGTCAAAAAATAATGAACCTAAGCAAATTGATACACATGAAAATATGAAAAGAAATAGAATATAGTAAAGTTATAGAATATATGAATAAAATTTTTTAAATGAAAGTAAAAGGTAAAAAGCCATTAGCTAACTTAATCAACAAAAAACCAAGTACATAAAAATGAGATTTCAGAATAAACATAGTGATTTGGAATAATTTTAAGACCAACTTGTCTCAATTTTATAAAAATAGATCTGGAAACCTGTATGAAATGTATAATTTTCTAGGAAAATATAACCCTCCTAAATTTACCTCCCAAAATACAGAAAACATCAACAGACCAGTTACTATGGAAGAAATAAAACTGTCCAAGGGATATCAGTTCCTAAAAGAAAAATTTTAAATATTTTTAACTTTTATTTAGTAAATATAAGTTTCCAAAGTACAGTTTATGGATTACAATGGAAATTAAAAATAACATATGCACAAATGACAACAGCAAACTTATTTCCAGTATCCACAAATCAATGAGAAAACAGTTTCCATCAGTGGAAAAATGCTTAAATGTGCTGTGGTATATCCATATCATGGAATTTTAGTCAGCAATAAAAAGGGAATAAACTGCTCCATGGAACAGCTCATGTGGCTCTCAGGGTCATTGTGATAATCAAAATATCTAGTACAAAAAGGCTACTTAATTTAATGGTTCCATTTACAGAACAAAAAATGAAAAAATAGGAATAGCAAATCAATGACAGGTTGTCGGAAGTTAGGACTGGCGGCTAGGGTAAGTTGGGTGTGAATATACAAATGTAGCAGGAGGGAGGTTTTTGTATATCTTACTTATAGGTGTCTATCTATGTGAGCAAGTGGTATAAAATCTCTCGCTCGCTAGCTCTCTCTCTCTCTCTCTCACACACACACACAAACACACACACACATCAGCACCAGCACCAGCAGCTGCACATCAGTTCACACAGAAACGCTGAAACCTGGAAAACGTTGATGGAGGAAGCCAACATCCATTTACCACTACCCTGGTTTTGATGTTTCACAGTTACACAAGAAGTGGCCACTAGGAGAGCCAGGATAAGGGGCACACATAGGGTTGCACTACTCCCTTCTCAATTTCTGGTGCCTCTGTGATTACTTCAAAATGAAAAGTGATGAAAGAAGGCAGAAGGAAAAATCCGGTTGGTGAGGGGGTGGTGTGAGAGAAGGAGGAAGAGGGGGACAACAGTGGGTGCTTTGTTCGTCCTGGCTTTGGGAGTGGGGCCTTTTGTCCATGCACAGTTGTTTTCCTGGCACAGTTGTTTTCTATGTGGAGCATGTGCAAGGCCATGCAAACAGGGAAAGAGTAGCATTTGTCAAAAATATACAAGAGTACACGGGCCTCTTCTTTGGGAGCCCCTCAGTGCTCAAGTGCTGGGGATCGGTGGCTGCGGGGTTCTGGAGGGGGTTCATAGTGTCCTGTGTTTTTCAAAAGCACCCTCCAATCATTCTGCAATCATGTCTCTTCCCTACCCCTACACTTCTTGGGTATATGGAGGCTGTTGATTTCTCCTAACAACTGGAGAAGGACTTGGGTGTTTTCTCTACAACTAGAATCTCACAGCGACATTAGATCACCCACAAAATGACTCCCCAGCCCACACAACTGTTGTTGGGCCCAGAGCTTTAAGTTTCCAGTTAATTTCTTGCCATGACTAACTTTTCAGCTGAGGAATAGACTACTGTTTTGGGTCTTATTGCTCACAGGATAACACTTAGTAATGTAGAGGCCGATTATCCCACCCACCACTGCTCAAAAAATGCCTAGCAGTCTGCAAGTCTTTTAAGATAATGGGGGCAGGTAATTATTTCAAAAGAAACTTCATGCTCTCTAATCTCCAATGTCTGCTGATAAGTGGTAAGATAAATAGGAACAAGTGCAAGAGGCAGCCTAAGATATAAGGTTGTGTTGAGTTCCACAGTGATTTCTTTCATTTCTGAATTGCTGGCCCAACCTGCCCGAAACCAAGCTTCTTATGGAATCCAGAGGCTTTCTGGAAGGTGTGTTACCACTTCCAAACCAGAAATAGGAAGTGCACTGACTTCTGGAGAATCTCTTCTGCTCATGGGCTTTTAATCTGGCCAAAAAGCATGATGAGGAATTCACTATTCCTTAGGTGAGCACCACATTGCAACTCCAGATAACCTGTGTTCTTATTCTAACTCTGCCACATGCTAGCTGTGTAATCTTGAACAAGTCATTTATCTCTCACCTTTGGTCCCTTTGCTTATAAAATAAGATTAGTAGCAGTACCAACCACTTAAGTGCTAAGAGTATTAAATATGCTAATGGGTGCTGGCGCCATGGCTTACTTGTTTAATCCTCCACCTGTGGCACTAGCATCCCATATGGGTGCCAGTTCTAGTCCTGGTTGCCCCTCTTCCAGTCCAGTTCTCTGCTGTGGCCCAGGAGGGCAGTGGAGGATGGCCCAAGTGCTTGGGCCCTGCACCAGCATGGAAGACCAGGAGGAAGCACCTGGTTCCTGGCTTTGGATCAGCGCAGCTCCAGCCGTTGCAACCATTTGGGGAGTGAACCAGCGGAAGGAAGACCTTTTTCTCTGTCTCTCTCTCTCACTGTCTATAACTCTACCTGTCAAATAAATAAATAAAAATATGCTAATGTATTCAAATGTATTCAAAGTCTTGGGTACAGTATCTCTGTCTCATAGGAAAAATTCAAGCTCAATAAATGGTAACCAATATATCATTATTAGTGTTTAATTAAAAAACATATAAAGAACTAAGAACAAATCTTGGATTCAACTCCAGCCTGACATTGTTTTAATTTATGACCTACAAGATAATAGCTCATTACCTAAGTGTTTTCTTTTATCAAATGAAGATAGACACAACTATGACTCAAAGAAATGGGTGCAGCAGGAGATTGTGCAATTGAAAATATTAAGGCTTTCGACAATTTTGAGAATGTTTTACTGTGCTGGTACAATAACTCACTTTTTAAGTCAGAGAAAAAGCCATGGTACTGTCTGGCAGTGTTACCACTGTGAATGTCAGATCATGCCCTAGGAATGTGTGCCCGTAGGGAGTGTGTCCTCCACTACTGTTAGAACCCCTTGACCTTCCTATCACCAGGCACTACCTAGACAATCAATCTAACACACTATTGAATCACTCCACGAAGACTGATTCTAGTCATATCCCTTCTTCAATAAAAACACCCAATAGATTTTCGTGCTATCCAAGGGCAGAGGGTGGGAGGTGAAGACACAGCAAAGAGTAAATTTTCAGTGAAGTGTACTGAATTAAATAACCTAACAAAATCATAATTTTCAGACTAAGGGCCAGGTACTTTTGTAGATGCTACAACGCTGGCAGGATACAAATCATTCGAAAATATCTTTCCTAATGGAGACCTGTTAAGTTCAGTGGTTAAATGAATGCATGTATAGTTTAAAGCATGGCTGAACAGCATGCCCTGGAATGACAGAAAAATAAGAATATCTCTTGATAGAGGTAGTGAAATAAATCTTGAATTATTGAAAGGAATTGTAGAAGTGAAATGACAGCAGAAGGAAATGTTGTGAATGGTATGAGTATACAATGAATCATTCTGTCATAGAACTCACGATCTTTGAAGAGAGAAGGGTTGTGTGTGTGTTTCAATATTTGTGTAAATCTTTGTCTAATACAATGTCTTGAACAGAGAACACTGTCTAGATTACTTTGCTTTTCCTTATGGTAGTCACTAGCTCCATGTGGCTATTTATATTTAGATAATTAAAATTAAAACTTCAATCCCTTAATGTCTCTAGTTACATTTTAGCTTCTCAAGAGCTCCATGTGGCTATTGGTTGCTGTAATTGGAGGTTTGAACGTAGCCTTCCATCAAGAAGGTTCTATTGGACTGGCCTACAATGAGAAATAAACTGAGGAAAGTGTTAGAATGTTAGAACTGAGAGTCCTCATGACTCATGAACCATTTCCTAATTTGTGCAGATGGTGGCACCAAGACCCAGAGAGGCAAAGCCATTGCCAGATTTCCATTCCAAGTTGGTCAGTGTCCTGGCCGACACGGATTCCAGGTGAGTTGACATTCCACAATGAGTTGTGATCTTTGCTCTATACTTCGTTTATTCTGCATCACACATTGCTCTAACTGCTTTCCAAGAGCATAGGTTATTGTGAGGTTTCCTCCTGTAGCCAGGTTCTTCAAGGCCTTTCTGATATAAAGCTGAGCAATGTGGGTGAGAATTGACAGAACAGGCGGAGTCAGCTACAGAGCAATTGATCAGTGAAGGCACGGGTTTAGCCCTGTCACCAGCTAAAACCCAGCACTCAAGAACTACAGCAACGAATAAGCAAAGATGTTGAAAGAATGTGGGAACATGGAAAAGAGGCAGCGAATTACAGCAAGTAACCTTGCACTCAGAAGGCTGGCGCCCACATTCCATATCTCCTCTTACTGATGCGGTGGCCCAAGGCTACTTTTTTACACTGAGACCGTTCCCTCTCTGTGAAATGGAAATAATGACACCACTAAGAGATTTCCCATAGATTATGTAGCAATCGACTGAGGGAGGTTCTAAAAAGTGTGGTAGCTTGACGATTATTTTAATATTATTGTTATACTATATCATCATAAAAAATTATTAGGATATGTTTTACTTATTGGACTCCTTATTTGGTGGAACATTAACCCTTTGACTATCATGTAATTAAAAATGTTATCAAAAATATTTAAAGTGTATGTGCAAAAAAAACCATGAAACATTAACGTGAACAATGGTACACAAACCATCTAATTGTACAAGAAACTCCATCAAATGATATAAACTGTGGTAAGAACCTCCTCAGACGCCAGCGCCGTGGCTTAATAGGCCAATCCGGTGCTGGCACCCCAGGTTCTAGTCCCAGTTGGGGCGCCAGATTCTGTCCCAGTTGCCCCTCTTCCAGTCCAGCTCTCTGCTGTGGCATGGGAAGGCAATGGAGTATGGTCCAAGTGCTTGGGCCCTGCACCAGCATGGGAGACCAGGAGGAAGCACCTGGCTCCTGGCTTCGGATTGGCGCAACGCACCAGCCGTAGCGGCCTTTTGGGGGGTCAACCAACGGAAGGAAGACCTTTCTCTCTGTCTCTCTCTCTTGCTGTCTAACTCTGCCTGTCAAAAAAAATAAATAAATAAAAGAACTTCCTCAGAATTATGAAGTCATGTGTTTTTCACATTCATCCGTTAGCTAATTTTCTTATCAAAAACTATTATGAATTATTAAACATTATTTTGACTTGCCAGCATATCTCAGAAAATCATTGCTATTTTTCGTTGTAATTTCTCCTGAACATGTATACCATGTTATGTTCAGATTCCATTGTTTGAACCTTTAATATTTTGAATGGTAAAGATGATCAATTTCAAATCAATAACAAAGATGTATATTTGAGATAAAAAAAAAACTGTAAAAAAGCAAATACACAAAGCACACTTACTGTGTATCTGGCATTGATCTAAGTGCTTTGCATGTATTAATCCACTCAATGTCTACCACAAGTCTAGGAGAAGTACTGATGTTATTCCTGCTTTACACATGCAGAAACTGAGGCACAAAACTGGCTAGCAATATAAAGCTGATGAAACCCAGGCAGTGGGCCCCAGAAGGTGTGATGTTAACCATGCTCATTTTAAATGGAAGGAGCCTGTCCCCTCCCCAGAGGGGACCACTTTTACAATCTCTCCACTCAGCAAGAAGCTATGAATAATCCTTTGTGAATGAATATTCTGGAACTTACAAATTATTCGGTGGATGTTGGGAAAGCTGAAACCCAGGGTGCTGTAGGGCTTCCATCCCAGAATAACATGATGGGTGGGAGCATCTGGCTCCCTTTGGGCTGCTTCTAGAACATTCTTAGGTGTAGCTCTGCATTTTTCTCTTCAAATGCTTGCAAATGCAGCTCTGACACTTGGTTAAGCTAAAACACAAACAGCCACAGTTTTGGCTGCCTCTATCCTCCTGAGCTAATTCCTGTTTTTAGGGCTTCACAGGTAGTTGAAATGCAAACATCCTACCTAATAATTTTAGTTTTGCAAAAAGTGTCTCCGGTGGAAAAGTGCCCATATCCAGTCTTCATTTGTCCATTTATGTAATAAATATTTATGTACGATTACATGGGCCAAGATCTGTGCCTGGAGATGCTACACAGACAAGCCCCTTTGTGGGCAGCTCACAGGGAGGAGAGGAAACAAGAGAAAATCAAATCATGTCTTCTCTCATTTGCAAGAAAATCTTTGTAGGAACAGAGGGCACACCAAACCGAGCAGCTGATCCTGAGAATCCAGGAAAGAGTTTAGCAGTGTCCTTGCTCAGAACTTCTCAGATGACATCCTTGCAACTTCTTGTGAATAACCACATAAGGTAACATGGGGGAAAGTTTGCTTCCAGCTGTCTGGGATGTGTGAATTTCCTCTCACGTCTCTGTTTTGAAAAATATTAATGAACATTTGCATTGGTTAGGGTCTGGCTGTCTGCCCTATTTGGCTTAACTGAAATTTTAAAGCGAATTCTGAGGGGTGGGTTGTTTTTTCCAATTCCTTAATTAAACAACTGGAGTGTTCCATGAGATTCATTCATCTTTGTATCTATTTAAATGACTTTCATTGAAAGGGCCACTATGTTGAAGTCACCACTTGTCTTTAAATAATATTTCAACTGTGTACCCAAGCTGTTTATTTTTATAGTTCTGTGTATTTGACCTAAAGCTTTTAACCTTGTGTGTGTGCCCTGAAGTGACTTTATTGCAAAAGGGTTTGGCTTATAAATCTAAATAATAAATAACATTCAGTTGTAACAGAAGAAAAAGAAATATCAGAACTGCTTACTCCCCAGAGAAATGTAATGGCAAAAATGAAAAAGTATGAGACAGCTCACGTAAATGAGTAGCCATTGGCAGTAACACAAGACACCAAACCCTTAAATAGAATTAGAGAAAATAAAATGTCAATCAAATATGTAAAATGTTCCCAGAAGTACGGTTGGTGCTTTATAATACAAATGTTAGTGGAGCAAGCTCTAAGATAAAGAAAAAGCTGAGGCTCAGTGGTGTGAATGAAAGTGCTTAATACTACCCAGATGGTTGGCAAAAGAGACGAAAACTTGGCTATCTGACTATAAAAGCTTTTATTGGTTCCATTCTACCCTACAAGCTCTTTGTTGAAAGCCAGTTCTACCAAGAAACCAATCAAAACGTATGTCACTTAAAAATTTGGATTAAGGTATACAGAGACGAGTAGCCTTTAGGAGAAAGGCCGTTTGAATTTATATAGTCCATTGATAACCAAACTATTCACCACCAAGGTTCCCTAGTATTATTTTTTCTTTATGAACCCTGAATTTAGAATGACTTGTACCTCTAGACTACTAGAAATGACAAATCAACATTTCTGCTGTGCTACACTAGAAAATCGGATCAATGTACCCCATATTTAGAATGAGGTGCAGCTCTAGAATACCAGAAGTGACGAAACAGCCAGATCAAAACAACACAGAAGAAGGCTGGGGCCACCAGGATCTGAAGTGATGAAATGCAAAAGTCAAGGAGTCAGAGAGTGTGGAGAACATGCAGTGGATCCAACCATCATCAGTCCTGCCCACCACAGTGTCTTTCTGACCATCACACTGCTGTCAACATCCCCTGAAATAGGAAGTTCAACACTACCCCCGAGGACTTTGTTTTTTTAGAGCATAGGAGAGTTTCCTAAAACAAAGAACTCCTCATTCTTGACGTAGTTCCCAGATTCAGATGCATCATTTACAAATGAAAGTTCAAGGAGATACATCAGAACCTCATCTTGTATGCTCAGTATGGAGATTATTACATTCTGTGCTTGCTGACCTAATGTTCAGAAAATGCTGTTAAAGTTGCCATTGACTCATGAATCGGGACCTGTGAGTTTTCTCCATGTCTTTTGGTTGCATCAGCAAAGCAAGAAGTCAAGATCAAAGAGATATGATCCAGAAAACCCAGGAGAAGATGTTCTGTTCTGTATATAGGACCTTTACACAGAGACCTTAGGTAATATTAATGATTGGGTTTACAAGGAAAAACCAAGTTAAATATTCAAAGCCAATGAAAAGAGGTAAGGAGTCATGGTTAATCTTATGCATTGGCTTAGCTGGTCCATAGTGCCTATGTATTTAAACATTATTCTGTATACTCCTGCGAGTTTTTTGAAAGGTTAATATTTAAATTGCTGGCGCCTCAGCTCAATAGGCTAATCCTCCGCCTTGCGGCTGCGGTACACCGGGTTCTAGTCCTGGTGGGGGCACCAGATTCTGTCCCGGTTGCCCCTCTTCCAGGCCAGCTTTCTGCTATGACCCGGGAGTGCAGTGGAGGTTGGCCCAAGTGCTTGGGCCCTGCACCCCATGGGAGACCAGGAGAAGCACCTGGCTCCCAGCTTCAGATCAGCATGGTGTGTGGGGAGCAATCCGGACTGGACTAAGTTACTCGAATTAGGACTTATTCTATGCATCTGCTCTCCCACAATATGGCGCTGGGAGAGAAGTAAACAGCTTCCGCACAGCTGCCTCCAGTTCAACCAATTAACTGTAGGACTTGCTCCTGATTGGAGAGCAGCGTACTCAGCCGAGTTGGGATTGGCGGAGGAGGACTATAAAGGAGGAGAGAGACGGCATGCACCAGGAACATCTATGGGGAACATCTAGCTGAGGGAACCCGTGCAGCCCCCGAGAGAACCGGCCGGCGGTGTGCCGCTCCCCTGCGGAAGTGGGGAATGCGGCCAGGGGGAACTGCCCTTCCACGGAGGTGGAAGGGATAGTAGCCAACCCGGGAAGAACCAGCAGCAAACCCGGGGAGGGCCGAGCAGACGAAAGAACAGCGCAGGGTCCTGTGTCGTTCCTCCACGAAGAGGGGGAGCGACATAATGGTGCCGTGACTCGGATAGGAAACCTAGCTCGGATAGGAAACCTAGGACGGATATGAAACTTAGGAGGGAAGAAACGGGAAGAACTGGGAAAATATCGGAGAGAGAAACTAGCAAACAGCCTAGGGAAAATACCGAAGAGAGAGACTAGCAAACAGCCTAGGGAAAAGCCGGACGAAAAAGGTGCCGGAAGAAGCTATTAAGCCTAGGCATAGACTCAGATACGGACTACGGGGGGAAGCTGGGAGAAATCTTTAAGGTCGAAAGTGAAAGCTAGAACAAACAGACTCGGACGCGGACTGTGGGGAGAGGCCAGGAGAAATGAGGGAGGAATATCGTTGGAGGAAAGCTTGGGGAAACATACCGGGTAGAGAAAAATGTTAGGGAAATTGAAGCCGCGGGGGGCAGGCCGAGGCGGAAACGAAAGCCACTTTGGGGTTCTCAAGTTAGCCCGGGAATAGGGGGCGAAAAGTTGAAACCAGAAGCTGAGACGTAAGCCAGATTGGGATCCGTCTGATTAGCCCGGGGAGCAAAGGACGGGAAGCCAAACCGTGGGGCGGAGACGTACGCTGGGTTGAATTCGCCAGGCTAGCCCGGGGAACTTAGATTGAATCCTAGTGGCGGAGACGCAAGCTACGCTGTGTTACTCGCGGAAGCCGCCGCGTGCAGAGAGAGCACGGGGCGTGAATAGATAGGGAACGCTGGCGTAGGCCGTGGTTCAGACACGAAAGGGTTAAGCGTGGAGACCGCGGAGCGCGCGAACCCGAGCCGCGCAAAGCCGGGAAGCTGCGCAGATGAGAGAGGCGCTCGGGCTGAAGCGGCGCAGAGCCGGGAACCCGCCGGCGGGGCGAGGTGCCGGAAAGCCGCAGGGATAAGAGAAACAGAAGTTTGGAAGTGAAGTAAAAGAGAAATGGGAATGCTGGAAGATAGAAGTGAAATGGGAGAGGTAGGAATGCCCGGAGATAGAGAAATAGAGAAAAATAAGGCCTCCCCTCAACATGCCAATTAGAAGGCTTGGATTCGGTCTGCCCGATTGGTGAGGCGATGAGCACCTGGGCGGCTAGCCGCAGGTCATCGAAGACAAGCACGAATTAACATCAGTAAAGCTTCCCCACAATGCAACAATTAGGAGGCTTGGATTCGGTCTGCCTGATTTAAGGCGGTAAGCGCCAGCAAAGCTCGACCAGAGTATGAGCTGCAGGTCACCGAAGATAGGCACGAACCAACACTAATAAGTCTCCCCCACAATACGGCAATGAGAAGGCTTGGATTCGGTTTGCCTGATAGGTTTTGTAAACACCTGCAGGCAGTTCTAGCAGAGTAGAGCATGCGCTGCAGGGCACCGAACACAGGCATGCATCAGCGCCTAAAAACCTCCTCACAATGGCGAAGAGAGGACCCGGATTCGGTTTTCCTGATTGATAGGACTTGTAAGAGCCTGTGGCAACTCTAGCAAGTAGAGCAGAGTGTGTTCCGCGGGACACCGAAGACAGGCGCGTATCAACGCTAAAAAATAAAAAGAAAGGGGGATCTGTGGGGAGCAATCCGGACTGGACTAAGTTACTCGAATTAGGACTTATTCTATGCATCTGCTCTCCCACAATATGGCGCTGGGAGAGAAGTAAACAGCTTCCGCACAGCTGCCTCCAGTTCAACCAATTAACTGTAGGACTTGCTCCTGATTGGAGAGCAGCGTACTCAGCCGAGTTGGGATTGGCGGAGGAGGACTATAAAGGAGGAGAGAGACGGCATGCACCAGGAACATCTATGGGGAACATCTAGCTGAGGGAACCCGTGCAGCCCCCGAGAGAACCGGCCGGCGGTGTGCCGCTCCCCTGCGGAAGTGGGGAATGCGGCCAGGGGGAACTGCCCTTCCACGGAGGTGGAAGGGATAGTAGCCAACCCGGGAAGAACCAGCAGCAAACCCGGGGAGGGCCGAGCAGACGAAAGAACAGCGCAGGGTCCTGTGTCGTTCCTCCACGAAGAGGGGGAGCGACAATGGTGCACCGGCCGCAGCACGCCAGCCACAGCGGCCATTGGAGGGTGAACCAATGGCAAAGGAAGACCTTTCTCTCTGCCTCTCTCTGCCTGTCCACTCTGCCTATAAAAAAAAAAATATTTAAATTGGTAAACACAGAGTAAAGTAGGCCTTCCTTCATAATGTGCATTGGCTCCATACAATCAGGAGAAGGCCTTAAGAGAGCAAAGACTGATTTCCACTGAGCAAGAGAAATGTTGCCCGCAGAGAGCCCCTTGGGCTTGACATGCAATATCAGCTCTTCTCTGGGTCTCCAGGCTGCTGGACCATCCTGCAGATTTTGAACTTGCCAGCCTCCAAATGGCACGAACCAATTGTTAAAAATATGTCTTCTCTATCCGTATATGTTCTATAAGTTCTGCTTCTTTGGAGAGCCCTGACGAACACCAAAGCAGAAACAAAGATTTGAAATCTGCAGATCCTCTACAGAATGAGAATGCATGTGAAGTGGAACAAGACAACAGAGTGATGGCTGGTAGGGGCCTCGAAGTCCATGTGCTTGAGGCAGCTGCCCATGTAAACTGAATGAGTAAGTAGGGAAGAGACCCAGCCACTGGAGAGCACCTGCCTATAACTTCAACACAACTCCTCTATGACCACAACCCAAGAGTTCTTTTAGTTTCTTGTGGCTGCTGTAACAAGTCGCCACTTGGTGACTTAAAAGAACAGAAGTATACTCTCCTACTGTTAGTTCTAGAGGCCAAAAATTCAAAATCAGCATTGCCAGACTGAAATCAGGACACTGTAGGGTTGGGCTATCTCTGGTGCCTCTAGACGTCTCCCATTCATTCCTTGCTTCTTCCAACTCCTGAAGGCTTCCAGCATTGCTTGGTCTT